ACATGGCGGCACACCCTCCTCGGAGTGGTCAGTGATCTTGTCAGGGACGGAAGAGTTCAATGACTACAAGGGTGAGTTTAATTATATGTTGTCGCTGACTAGCAGTGGTTCCGATGGTACAATTACACATGTAATTTATCAGCAAGATACTTGCATACATAATAAACCAAAAGCAAAACATTAAATTTCAGTGGATGCTAAAAATACAAGATTGGGCCATGACGCAGAGCAGTCTCACTTGCAAGGGGTTGGGGAGAAAAGCCAAGGACCTCCCCTCCCTTTTAGGAGCTGGCTGTCCCACCCACTGGGATCACGTGGCATCCAGCCCAGGAATGCACGCCCCAAACACCAAGTAAATCCCAAACCCCCAGTGGTGTGTCAACAACGCTCCCTCCACAAAGGAAATGGGATGGGGAAGCTGACTTAGGAAACTCACCACCCTTCTGACGTTCTCTGAACTTGCTAACCACGGTCCCAGGGGTGCTGGGAAGACCGTATGCCTGGCAACTTCTCAAAGTTCCTAGCTCCAGCACGAGTCTGAAAATGGCCTATACTTTCCTTAATCTTGAATAAAGACAGAGAAAGGGAAAAGGTAACTAAACAGAGAAAATGAAAATGCTAATAACAGCAACACACTTACTAATTACCTATTTTGAGCCAAGAGGCATTATTTTACTTATACAATCACATAGATTACTTGCACTGTCTACTATATTGTCATCATTGTCATCCCCAATTTACAGATGAGAAAAGAGAGACGCAACGAGGCTAATCCCTTGACATGCGGTCATATAGCCAGTGCATGGTGAAACCATGATTCAACCCAGGAAATATGGTTGCAGACTCCATACCTTTGCCAGGTTAAATCTCTATTATTATTCATTATTTTCTTACCAATACCACTACGTTATCCATTGTACAATAATTTCAAAGTCAAGGGTGGAGTAACTTTTTACCCTCATCACTAGGAAAACATTTCCCAAAGACTGGTACCCTCTGTTCTGGGACGTGGGAGCCTCAGCCTAGTCCCTCATGATAGCAGACCCCAGGTAGCTGAGCATCATCCAGTCCCAAAGAGATCCAGCATGGTGGGGCCGAAGAGGACACACAAGAGCCTCTAAGAGAGCATGAAATACAATATAAACTACAGAGTTTCACCCAGGAGACAGACAACCAGTCATTTGGACACGAAGTCTTCTGAGCCTCATAAATTCCTTGCCCATGTCCTGCTTCGAAAGAGGTCACCTTCCTCTACTCTGCCTCCATGTCTTCCACCCCAGTATGTATGTTTTCATCTGCATACATACCCTGGTGGATTCTTAGAGCTACTTTCATAACAAGGCATCCATATGGTTTAAGCTTACAGAGATTGCCTGGCACAGTCCCAGACATTTTGTTTTCTATTTTAAAGACTGGATTGAAAAGGAGAGATAATAAGAATATCCTTCTATAACTGACCATTTGATGTTAAAAAAAAAAAAATGTTTGGGAGGGCAAGGGATAAAGAAATAGTAAAAAGTGGGACTTTCACTTGAACTTCTGGACCTACCATTCTAACTAAGATCCTGTCAGGGTTTGAGATAGAATCCCATCCATCCACTCATCTACCCATCCACCTATCCCTCCCTCCCTCTATCCACCCATCCATCCATCCATCTACTGATTCACCCATCCATTCATCCATCATCTACTTATCTATTCATCCACTTATCCAACTACCCATACATCCATCCACTTGTCCATCCTTCCAGTCACCATTTTTATTGAGAACCTACTATACAGTGAGCATCATTCCAGAAATTAGAAAATAATACTGAACAAAATACAGCAAGTCCATACTCTCTCCACATTTACACTGTACTAGAATCCCAGGGACAGGGGAGCCTGGTGGGCTGCCATCTATGGGGTCGCACAGAGTCGGACACGACTGAAGTGACTTAGCAGCAGCAGGAGAGACAGACCAGAACCAGTAAAGAACTATGTCTCCAAAATTATTCCTGCATCAAACATCACAATGTATTTTAAATCCTCCATCACAGAGGTAAATCAGAGACATTTCCCTCACTTGTTGTCACCAACGAGGATCAGCTGTAAAAACAAACAAAAGTGTGTTCTATGGAAATGCTAACAGTACAAAAACATATTCCAATGTGGCAGAATCATTTGAAGGCAAATACTACAGGCAGTATTTTTATGACAAAAGCTTTATTTCTCATCTTCTCTATCCTTGATTTAAATATATACATGTATGTGGGTGCACACGTATCTAGATTCAAGTATTTCAATATAAATTTTGTATTCAAAATACTTTTCCTGATTTCAGTTGATTGCACATTTCGAGCCAGTGTTGCAACAGTAATTTTTGTTCTGAATCAAAAACAAGGATCCTTCTCCCTCCCTCACCCTCTCTCTCTTCCCTGTGTTCAACAACCTCACTTTCTTCCCCGACCGGCTAGCCTTGGGTCTTTGCAACCCCATGGACTGTACCCAGGCAGGTGCCTATGTCCATGGAATTCTCCAGGCAAGAATACTGGAGTGGGGAGCTGATGCCTTCCCCAGGGGATCTTTCCAACCCAGGGATCGAACCTGGGTCCTGCATTGCAGGCAGATTCTTTACATCATCTGAGCCACCAGGGAAGCCCCTCATTAGCCTCAAGAAGCCTAAATATTCAGGCTGCTTTCAGATCTGAGTGATATCAAGGGCAAAACCTGTTTCTACTCATACATTCTCCTGCTGAAGGTTTCTGGGGCCGTGGTGGAGGGTGCTGAGGCACTGGCGAAAGCCACATCACAAAGGCACCAGGATAGAAGGACAAACCTTCCCACTTTGATTCGAGTGTGTAATTGTTTGAATACATCTCGCCCGTACTACAATAATGTCATCCTTGGTTGACACAGATTTTAAAGCCCTTTGAAAAGGTGGAATGTTATCAATCACAAGCATGATTATAATGGGATTTAAGTGGAAGAAGCTAAGAATCAGGCCCTCACTCGGGCCAGGCTCTATGACAGAGATGGGGGCGGGGAGAGAAGTTAGAGGGCTGCGTTTCAGCTGGGAAAAGGATGCAGAGTGAGCCATCAACCACAGAGCTTCTCCCCCACAGCCAGAAGATGTCCCAGGAAGCACCAGGAAACCCTGGAGCTCCAGCTGGAATTCCCCCACACCGCAAAAAAAAATCTGCTCACGCTCCTATCACATTAGACCAGAGGTTCTCAAGCAGGCCGACTGTGCCCCCAGAAGATATTTGGTCATTTCAAGAGACATTTTTGTTTGCCACAACAGGGGAAGGGATTCATAACTGACACCTGGTGAGCTGAGGCCAGGGATGCTGTAAACCACCCAGAGTGCGCAGGATGCCCCACAGCAAAGAATCACCCAGCCCAGACTGTCAGCACTGCCAGGCCGAGGAACCCCGTCTTAGCTACAGAGGGGCTGAGCCAAAGCCTCAAGAAAAAAAGAGCATTTCCAGGAAAGGAGTCTGAAGCTGCTCCCCCCCCAGCTCCGTGGCCCCTCCTGCTCACCAGCAGACAGAGGCAGGTGACAAGAGTGGATAAAACTGGGGACGGGAGAGAGGAGCCTTTGAGCCAAATTACTTGCTCTTTTGCCTTTTGATCTAAAACACACTTTTCTTATTACATGTCAGACAGGACTGGAAATCCAGCCATTTTTTTTCTTCAAGGCAAAACAACCCAGGCCTCACAAAAACACAATAATCTCCCTGGCAGATCTCTGGACTGTCCAGCCTCTCCCTGACAAATCACAACTGTGCCTACAGACGTCAAATTCACCCACCAAGCCCAATCAAATGCCCGGATTACTAAGGCAAAGAATTGTGAATTTCATTAAATATGTTAAAGGGGAAAAAATCAGCTTTGAAAAATAGTAATCCTGTCTTTCAACAAAAATATTATAGGAAGCTATGAATTTGGTAGATCCGAATAGGATGTTGGTACATGTTTTACTAAGGTAATATAATGGCACACTATTATTAGATCACATTAATCATTACTGTGCCAACGGCGCTGACAGCCCCACTGAAAAGGATTGAAAGGCCTGGTAATGGATATAAATTACCCATTGTGTGATAAAAGGATTTTTACTAAGAAGGTAAGAATAAAACAGCAAATTTCTAATATAACTGTTGTGTAAAAACCAAAATAAAAGTAATCCACGGTCAGTAATATCCACAAAATCAGAAGTAAGCACTTTTTCAACAAGATAAAGTCACAGTAAAAAAAATATATATTCAGTACAGTACAAAATTAATTTCTAAGTGCATAATTCCACTATCAATTTTCCTGGTTTATGTAGTGACCTCTGAGGCCCGTGGTCAGGAGAAGGTGGGTTTGGCTAATCAGATCTCAGGGTGAGTTTACAGAGATGTCAGGGCAGCCTCAGAGAAGGGGGCTGCAGACATCAAATATCAGCACTGCCCCTTCTTCTTAAGTTTTTAGCTTCATGTGGGAAAAATACTCCATGACTGAGTTTGTGATCTTGAGTCCAACTGAGGTGACAGGTACCAAGCCACTCAGACATAGGTTTCCTTCAAGACTGGGCCAAGCCACAGGACCACGCGCTGAGAGGTGGGGAAACGGGCCACGGGTGGTACTTGGAAGAGCCGCCTGCCTTTAGGCAGCCATCCCACCAGCTCCCCAGCTCTGGCTCCAACTGCCAGCTGGTGGACAGCGACTCTGCAGGATGTCATGTGAGAGGCAATGAGGTCAACCTTGTGGGGCTTTGTGACCCTGTTCTGAGACCTTCTGAGCATGTCTTGACATCACGTAGTCATGCCATCCAGGAAACCTGGGACCCATGCTGGATCCCAGAGACCTTTGAATCTGGAAGTTTCTCCAAAGCTCAGCCTCTGTCCACAGAAGCAAAGGAGTAGCTGGGAGAACTTCCACCCAGCACAAAGTTCTACAACCCAGAGAGGGCCACCTGGTTCCCCACAAGTCACAGGCAGGATCCCTTCAACAAACTGTAAATCAGTGTTCCTTACCAGGCGAGTCTGAAAGCAACGGAGCTGCCTCGTGGCGGGTGGATATTCTTAAAGCCGTGGTGGTCAGGAACTGCAAAGATAAGACCTGTTAGAAATTCTCAGCGTTGGACCCATCGACTCCAATAAGACAGGTAAACAACATTCAGCCATGGTAACAATTAAGACACTCAACTAGCATCTAAAAACATTTAACAGCCCCCACTGCCCCAATTCATTGAGCAATTTTTAAATTGGGAACTATATGACCTCTGTTGCAATAAACCAGATTTGCTCAGCTTCTTTTAATGGGAAATTGCCACCTGCAAAAAGAGAAGGGAGTGGGGCATCTCACCGTTTCTTCTCTAGGTGGATGGAAGAAGAAATGAGAGCAAATAAGGGCAGTCTCTCTCTCTCTCTCTCTCTCTCTCTCTCTCTCTCTCTGTCTGTCTTATATATAGTCTTCCCGGGTGGCACTAGTGGTAAAAAACCCACCTGCCAGTGCAGGAGACTTAAGAGATGCGGGCTCAATCCCTGAGTAGGGAAGATCCCCTGGAGGAGGGCATGGCAACCAACTCCAGTATTCTTGCCGGGAGAATCCCATGGACAGAGGAGCCTGGCGGGCTACAGTCCATGGGGTCGCAAAGAGTCGGACACAACTGAAGTAACTTAGCGCGCACGCACACACATACACACACACATTGGAGAAGGGAATGGCAATCCACTCCAGTATTCTTGCCTGGAGAATTCCATGGACAGAGAAGTCTGGTGGGCTTCAGTCCATGGGGTCACAAAGAGTAGAACATGCCTGAGCAACTAACACACACACGTATGTGTGTGTGTGTGTGTGTGTATGTGTATATATACATCCCTCCTTCCCCTCTTTCCTCTCTCTTTGAAATTCTAAAAGTGACTGAGAAGGTACTCAGGGTTTTTTTTCTCTCACTAATTTAAGGAGGCCCCTACAGCAGACCACACACAATTTCACCCAAATATCAATTGGCTACTCCTGTTCAGTGGCCAGGGAAGCTCTCAAAGGCTCCAGACCAAGAACTGACAACTGGACCAGGGGTCAGGGATATTATGTGACATCAAAGTCCTCTCTCTGAACCAAGACCAGGAAAGCAGCAGGATGGGATCATGCCCAGAGGGAAAGCCGAGATGCCTGCCACAGTGGCTCAAGAGCCATCAGCTGGAGTGACCAAGGCCAAGCCCTAATCTGTGATCTCCAGCTCAGGGCCAGTGCGGTGCAGAAGCTAATTTGCTTTGCTGTGTTACAGAAGAGACTACAGGGCAAGCAAGTGTTCTCTCTTGACAAACTGTACATTCTGATATTGCAGAAGTAAAATTCTAGTAAAAGAGGAAAGGAGGTGTCTGCAAATGAACTAGAAGATGTATTTGGAGAGCACGCAGTGGCAGCCCCAGCCCAAGATATTTGAACATCAAATCACCGACTTGCAACACTCCATCCAATTCCAAGATTGATTTCTGGCAACCAAAAAGGTGTTTGCTGAGTACATGCTAGAAATGTTTTCTCAGAGTGTAACAGGAACACTGCTATTTGTAAACGAATTTCTACCTGACTATCTTGAGACAGAAAGCAAGTCGACATCTCAACCATCTGCATGAGGACAGAGATCACAAGACTCTCTCTGTCCTCGATCAGATTATCTTCCACATTTTGTGTTTTCTGTATCACTCAACACTCAAATCTAGGCAGTGTAATACATACACTCGAGCTATGCTTTACCAAATTCTACTGGAGCCAGGAGGAACAGGCCCAGTTGAAGCTGCAAAGACACTTTGCGCACAAGGCTCCTGACATTTAGGGAGCAGACTGCAGGAGGTGGAGGTCAGACCCAGATTTTACATCCAAGTTCATGGCTTACAAAATTCAAGGGGCTGCTCACTTAGAAGCTTCATAAGTCCCAGTGACAAGGAGAACACGGCACACTTCTTCTGGGGAAGTCCCACCTCTGCATTTCCCCCGGCTTCACACCCCTGATCAGACCTCCAGCTCCTGCAGTCTGCCCAGGGTCAGAGCCACGCGAGGCCCCAGCACAAGCCCTGTGCCCTGGTTGGGGCTGCACCCTCGTCGGGGCTGTGCCCTCTTCAGGGTTGTCCCGAATGGGTAGGGGATTATTCAAAGGTGGCCGCCTGCCTAGGAAGCTTAGCCTAACAATCTTCCTGCTGGAAGAGGAACCTGAGGAAGGGAAATCAAGTTAGTGTCATTTGGGCCTTGGCGAGCCAGTCCAAACAGGAGGGGCTCCTGATGTCTGATGTCATTACAGTCACAGCAGGTCGGGCAAAGGTGACCACATCAGACACTGATGCTCTAATTCGGGATGGGGAGGAAGGAAAATGCCAGGGCAGTAATTCTGCCTTCCTCGATGAAAGAAACAGCTCTTCGGGTACAAGTAAGTAACTCGCATTGAGAGATAATGTAGTAACATAACCTGGTCCCTGACATGAGTCTCCCCTCATCCCTGCCTCCCACAGGGACCACACGCTGAGGAGCCAGGCAGGGGGACACCCAGGAGACATGGCCCACAAGCCCAGTTTGGTGCAGATACCACCAGACTGGAGGAGGGGTGGAAGGGGGTAGGTAATAAAGGCAGCAAAAAGCGTGGCATGGCATGAGTCAAGGGGGGCTGGGTAGCAACCACCTCATCAGAAATGCCTGAAACTCACAAAACTGATCCCCCTGCCTCCCCTGTAAAATGCAGGTAAGACACACCAGCCCAGGGGAGCAAATGAGTTTAGGAGACCTGTTCGCTCAGTGGCTCAGACCTTGTGTGTGCCGAGCCCTGAGGCAGGCCAGGGGCAAGCAGATCTGCCACGGGATCCAGGAACGGCCCACTGTGTGAAGGGTCTGGTGGGGCAGGGAGCCGAGAGGCAGCCACAGTGGGAACCAGGGAGGAAGCGCACAGAACATGAGCCCTCCAGCAGGTGCAGGCAGGGCCTCGAGGGAGACAGGGATGGAGGGAAGGGGAGGGCAAAGGCCCAGAGATCCTGCCGTGGGGCTCGAGCAAGCAGTGCAGGGTGACTGCAACTTGGAGAAGCAGGAGAGAGAAAGCGGGGAGGCGGTGGGGAGGGATGGAGGGATCACTTAGAGCCTGAGGCACTTCTAAGGCCTCTCTGAGGAAGGGGAGGGGAGCAGAGGGGATGGAAGGCTCTGAGAGAGGGATTTTGAAGGGGGGGACACAGAAAAAAAAGTGAGAGATGGTCCAGGCAGCTCTGGGGTGTCCTGGCACACAGTGGGCCCACAGCGTGGCGTCCCTGTGAATCTGCTGGGCCCCCACTAGGGGACAGGGGACCCCCTTCCTCCTGAGTTCTCCCAGGAGAGACACGGAAGCTCTGAGCGGAGCCAGGAAACCTTCACGGGGCAGGAGCCCAGCCTCTCATCCTCAGACACAAGGGCGTCAGAAGATAAGCAGACATGCCACACATGCTCCCCTCACCAGGGCCTCTGTAACGAGCCCCAAGTTGAACACAAAAGATCCTTCCTCTAGGCAGACATGGTGCCTTCCCATGCTCATTACACACCTATCTACCACTCTGCACCAGGACAACTGGAAGGTCCTATGAGTGATAACGAGAGTTACCATTTCCCGAGGACCTGGTACCAGGCCCCACGCTGAGACCAGTTCCCACACCACAAGGGGAAAGGGCTGTGCCCCGCTCACCTCCCAGGCCCCAGCCTCTGGCAGAGGGCTCTGAGCCCAGTGAATATTGCACAGTGGGGAGGAAGGGAGAAAGCGGGGCAGGGAAGTAAAGAGAAAAGGGAAGGATGGAGGGGGTAGGGCAAGATGAAGGGACAATAAGATAGATGGGGGGATGAGATGGACAGAAGAAAGGAAGGAAGGGCGGGAGGGAGGAGAAGGTAGTAGAGATGGAGGGAAGGAAAAGGCGGATGGAAGGAAGGAAGGAAGGGCTGGCTCACCTCACCCCTCCCCTGGTCCACGCTCTGCTCCAGGCGCTGGCCCTGCGGAAGGCAGAGTGTATTCCTGGAGATACCCCTCCCCAGGGGTCGCTTGGAGTTCCAGCAGCAGGAGCAGGGCTGTCTGCTGTGGAGTCTGGGCTGTCTGGGGCAGATGGGAGCCGGATAAACTGCTTTCCTCCCAGACAAGAGTTAGGAAAGAAGGATTCGGAGACAGAGCAGCCGAACTCCCACAGCCCTGTGTCTGGAGAAGGGTCAGCAACAGGAGACACACCTGGAGCTGTCTGGACCTCTCACCCCAGTGTCCAGGGCCAAGGCCTCTGAACCTGCTCTCCTGGGCCATGGGCTCTGCTCCGTCGGAGGGGCGCACAGAGGGGTACTCGAGCCGCGTCTCCAGGGGACAGCTCCTGGGGCTACATCGCCCCTTCCAAGGGTCTGGGTGCCTTTCCCAACTCAGTGCTTAATATTCTCCAGGCCCACTAGGGACAAGTGCCAAAACATGGTGGACTTGAGACTTCCACTCCGAAGCACTGACAGATTCTTGATTTCTTTCTCCGAGACTCAGAGGGACGGACACAGCCCCAGTGACAGCCCTCATCCTCTCTAGTTCTCAACAGAAGAGGCTTCCTGGTGAGGAACACAACCTGGGAGAGAGCCTGAGGGACTGAGCCCCTCATTCAGCCCTCAGTCATCAAGTGGCTCCCATGTACCTAGCCGGCTTCTACCTTCTAAGTTCCAGGGACGCAGCATAAGCAATATTTCTGCTTGTGCAAAGCGTACATTTCAGTGAGCAGTGACAAATAAAAGTAACATACAATATGAGCGAATAATAAGCTCTAAGAAGAAAAAAATCTGGGACAATAATGGACAGACTCATCGTTAGACAAGGCGGAGACCCCACTAAAATGTGACCTTGACAAGGGACGAGAAAGAAGTAAGGGGGTGAACCCTGTGAACAGCTGGGGGAACTTCACAAGCAGAGAAGCAGCGAGTGCAAAGGCCCTGTGGTAGGACAGAGCTGGTGTGTTCAGAACAGCAAGAAGCCACGGAGCCAATAGGCATGGACAGTGAGCCGGGACATGGGACAGGGTGGACTACTCAGGATTCACAGAGCTCAGCAGACACAGTACGAAACATGGGTTTTATTCTGAGCCAGGGGTGGGTTTTGAGTGAGGGAATAGCATGATCTGATTTGCCCTATACTGGCTGCAGTGGGGAGAACAGGCGAGGGGGGCCTAGAGTGGAGGCAGGGAGACCACTGGGGAGACTGCAGCAGTCGTCCAGGCGACGGAGGAGGCTGACCTGACCTGGGCTGAGAGCAGCAGGGACGGGGAGAAGCAAGCAGATCCAGGATGCCTTTTGTATGGAGTCAGGGAATTGTTGAGTAGCACGCCAGGTGTAAGGGGCGCCCAGACTCACCCTGCGCTCATCCTGGCCCCGGAAGCTGGTGGCACAAGGCGCCATTCCCTCATCAAGCCACGGCTCAGGTGCAGAAACCATATGTTTCTGATGCTTTGACATCTGGGGCCTTACTGACCCTGCAGGGACAGCTCCTCCCAGCAGGAGCCAATTCCCAGAGATAGCAAATGACTCCCCTGGGAGCACATCTTTCATCTGCAAACCAATCCAGAGCCCATGCCCCAGCCACCTCCTATATCAGGCTCTCACACTCTGGACCATTGTCCACTTGCTCTGGTCACCCAGGTACCAGGCAACTAGAGGCAGAGACAACTCTGAGCCCCAGAGCCTGCTAAAATTATCTGACTAGCCAATCCTAGGGCTTCCTTGATAGCTCAGCTGATAAAGCATCTTCCTGCAATGCAGGAGACCCCAGCTCCTGGGTTCGGGAAGTTCTTCTGGAGAAGGGATAGGCTACCCACCAGTATTCCTGAACTTCCCTGATGGCTCAGATAGCAAGGAATCTGCCTGCAATGCAGGAGACCTGGGTTCAGTCCCTGGGTTGGGAAGATCCCCTGGAGGAGGGCATGGCAACTCACTCCAGTATTCTTGCCTGGAGAATCCCCAAGGACAGAGGAGCCTGGTGGGCTACAGTCCACGGGGTCACAAAGAGTCAGACACAACTAAGAGTGACTAAGCCCAGCACAGCACAGTCAATCCTAAGTCCACTCCTGCCTTGCAGTGCTTTTCTCTCAAAAAACTACAAAAACGGCTCTTGCCCATGTTTTCACCTTTTCTGTTTGCTGACCAACCCTGGTGCTCCGCTATGCAGCCCTGCACGGCATGGTGTGCCCCCTCCCCTTAAGAACTGTGAGTAACAAATGATCTTTGCAAAGGCAGAGTGCCCTGGTCTGTTGGTCTCCCCACACACTTGCTCTCAGGGTCACCTTGGAGGCACCACGCTCTTAACTTCTGCCAGAACAGGTGTTTGAGGAGCTGTTATTCCACAGCCTCGAAGCGTCTCACAGTAGAGAAGGAACACTCGGAACTCAGACAGCTCTTTCCTAAACCCCATCAGCGCCCCCGCAAGGGGTCCCACCCCTGACCCACCGCAGTCGCAATCAGACCTCCAAATATGGGGCTGGCACCTGTGAGAGTGTGTGAGTGTGTGCGCACGTCTGTGTGTGTTTGCGCACACACATATGGGGGGGTGGGTGGCAGCTGCCACCCTGACGCAGAGCCCAGCATCACAGGACACGACTGAAATATTATAACACGGAGTGCGTTGGGCTGCCCAGACATGCTTCCAAAGGAAGCCTCTTCTTTCATTTTAAAACAAAGGTAACTTTGATGAAGAAGCTATTTGATACCTGTTCGATCTCAATGCTTTCAGGATACACAGACATCAGACGCTCACAGGAACCTGAGAGCCCGCGATATCAGCCCAGGCGCTGGGATGATAAAAGAGGAGTGGAGAGGCTTCTTCCCGTCAGCTTGCGACCCGGTGCATGTATTTTTACATGCTTTAGCATGAAGAAAAGCCAAGATGCTCAGAGCCAATCAAATTACTCCTCTGTCTCTTTAATAAACAAATCCATGTGCACATTAACAGTGTTGAAAATTCAATTTAAACTCTTTGTCTGTTGATGCTTACTCTAAAGATGGTCTTTCTTAAACAACAGAACACCAAGGAGTCGTTAGTGCTCTCTCTTCATTACTTCAAAAAACCAATCATTAGACACCAGAGTATATACGTAATTAGAAAATCACTTCCTTTGCAATCCAAGCTAAGTAGTTTACATACTGTAATTACAGGGACAAAATCAATTTTTAATCATTTCCCTGATTGGGCTCATCAGCTCTGTGGGAACATTGTAACCTGCTTGTTGTGCAAAAGCAACATCTGGGCTAAAACAATTACCCTTTGTTTGCTACAATATTCCTTAAATCTTTTTGCTTGCATAAAAAAATGAAAACATGAAGACAAGATATTTGGATGTCTTTTTGTCCTTGATCAACATATATCCGAAAGTTCTCCTCGTGACGTGAGTTTAATGTTCCCCGGAATTTACGGTTTAACAGTACACATCCAAGGAATGTATTTTTTCAGTGAGATAAAAGTATCTGATTGTTTTAAAGATCCATTCAGCTGCCTAATTGTTCCATAGCTAACACATGGTATTCAAACAACCCACACATTACAAAAGCTCATCTGGGTAATCATGGGCAACTATTATTGCGATGGTTTACACTTTTCTAATACAAATGAATGGATTTTATCAAAATTTAAAAAAAAAAACTAAAAAGCTGAGTATGTGTGAAAAATAGTTGGTATGAATTGGCAAGGCGAGGCTAAGCATTTTGTTCTCTTAATAGGAAATGACCTCATTTACACTGGAGTAATAATTAGTACTGCTTCACTGACAGTTAAGAAAAAAAAACTTTCCCAGTATAATAAGGCAGCATCTCCTTTGTTAGGAGATCTACATTGATTATTAACCCTTGCCAAGAAATTCCAAGTTTAACTCTACGTTCCACTGGGCTCATACTTGCTGGCAAAAGATGAAAATAGCTGTTTTGGAAACCGTTGCCTCTCTCCCAGATTTCCAAAGTTTTGCATCTGAGCTTTTAAGTGACAATCTGAAACACTTGGTGTCCCCTTTGAAGGAACATGGAAAGCCCCCGCCACCCCACCCCGCAGCCACAGGAGCCCCTGTCGGGCCCTGCGCTCCCCCGGTGGCCCTGGTCCTCCCCATCCTTTTGAAGTTTATTGGCTTTGATTTTTTGCTTGCAAGTCCCCCAACCTACAATTAATTCATAGTCAAAACAACCCTGAGAAGGAGAAAAGGAGAGGGGGAAAGTGAAAGGAGAAGGAAGAGATGCTTGCTGGTGATTCAGTCCAGGCTGACAGTGCAGAAAGGAGACAGGAGTGCATGAGCCCTTAAAAAAATATGTTAACAGTCCAGGAAATGTCCGGAATATATTCACACACACACACACACATGCCACCACTTCTAAAGGGACTTGTTCACTGACCAAATCATTCCTGAACTCATAAGAGTGACAACGGATGTTTACTGAGCACTTACCATGTGCCAACCAGAATCCCTCATAACAGTACTGACCCTCACAACAACCCGGTGAGGTGGGTATACCATTATCGTGTTCATTCACTGATGGGAAACTGAGGCACTCACCACAAAGTAACAAGTCCAAGGTTAAGAGCTCTTAAGATGTGAAAGCCACCCTACCCCACTGTCTCCCAGGACCGGACAACATCTCTCTCCCCACCACGTGGCCTTGGAGAGCCCCATCTCCAAAGCAGCCAAGCATGCCTGGTGTCCGCTAGTCGGAGACATCCCATGGCCCCACGTGTCCTTAGGAGCACACCCAAGGCTTTACCCCAAGGTGGGAGATTCCAATCCAGGATAAGGCAGAGGAGAACCCGCCCTGGGGGCCAGTGTGCTCAGGGCAGGAGGCACAGACCATATGCACACGCTTCCCACGAGGCTCAAGACCTGAGTCACTGGATATGGTGCCAAGCTGCCATGCTGGTGGCATCCCAGAGCCTGAGCCAGGCAGGACGGGCACCCCAGCTCTTCCTGGAGGCTGTTTGCTTGGACAGCCAGCCTGGCAGCATCTCCCCAATGTCTTTGCCCAGCTTGCCCCAGGTCTCAGCCTATCCCTGGGAAGGCAGCTCCCACATCAGTTCAAGACTCTACAGGACAGCAAGTTTGAGATAGCTGTGACCCCCCAGAGTGCGAGGAATGCAAAAGAGGGGGAAAAAGTCTCCCACCTTGTAAATGCTTTCTAGTTTACTGTATCACCACCTGAATTAAAAACCTTTATCCCTGTAGAGGAGACATGCCATGTCATCATCAGATCACAAGGTAGGTATCTATGATGCAGCTTATCTTGACAAAGAAATGTGAAAAACTGGAAGGCACAGTGCTTTTTTTCCTTTATACTTACTGCAAGCAATGCCGCTGCTCAGGCACTCTGTACTCTGTCTGACAAATAGTGCTTGAATATTCAGCCATCACACAGAGCCATGCTGTCCAGCCCGGCAGTCACTGACCCCAAGTGCCTACCACGCACGTGAAAAACTGCGTCCGCCCGAAGTGAGGTGTGCTGTGAGCCTAAAACACACAACATGTTTGGAAAGATGTCAGATATCTCTTTTGTATTCTTTACACGTTTTTACATGTCAAAGTGATAATATTTTGGATACACTGAATTAAAATTTAGTCTTAAAACCAGTTTCACCTGTTGTTTTTTTCCCATTTTATTTTTTGTTTGTTTATTGTTTACCATTTTAATGTGCCCATTAGAAAAACATTTTTGTTTTGTTTCTATTTGATTTTATTTATTTTCTAATTAAAGCATAGCTGATTTACAGTGTTGTGTTAATTTTTGCTGTACGGCAAAGTAGATTCAATTATATACACATATACATATATGTGTGTATACATATTCTCTTAAATATTCTTTTCCATTATAAATGTAAAGTTGTGTGCGGAGCTACATGAGCAGCTTCTATTATATTTATACTGGACAGTGCCAATTTCAACCTGTGCAAAAACTCAGGCCATTCTGACAGCTGAATTCAGCCATCATAAAAATTCATTTGTTTTCCAAAGAGGGTTTTAGAGAAAATGTAATGTTATCAGCATCACTTGAAATGTTGGTTCCATAGATATTCTCTGAGTCAAAATGAAAGTTACACAATTTCTACCTGAACCTTTGCAGGGTTTCCTGTACAGGTGTCGCTTTTTTCAGTTCATTTACGTTTAGTTTTATAAAAGTGGTTATTTAAGTAATAGTGCTCACTTCCAGAACATTTGCAACATACAAGATATTACAAAGAAAAAAATAACATAGTTCTATCAGCTGGTGTGATTGTTGTTGCTATTTTGGTATATTCCTTTCTATTCTTTTCCACACATGCATGTGTGAGCGCATGTGAGTTCATGACCATAACTGAAGACACACTGCATGTGTGTTTTTGGTTTCACATTTCCTAAAACCGCAGGTCCTAACTGTAAGAAGACTCTGTTTGGCCCTATGAGAATATAGGCTACTAGCTGAGGTGGCTGAGTTCCCACAGGTGTTACAAAAGGAAAACACTAAGAAACAAGCCATACACTGGGAGAAAATCTTAGCTAAAGACAGATCTGATAAGGACTGGTATCCAAAATATACAAAGAACTCTTTAAACTCAACAATTTTTTAAAAAAGCGCACTTAAAAATGGGCAAAAATCTGGATGCCTCACTAAAGAAGACCTACAGATGCAAATAAGCACCTCAGATGCTAGACAGGACATGTCATTAAGGAAATACAAATTAAAACAATAATGAGATATCATTACTTATCAGAATTACTAAAACCCCAAACTATGATACCACCAAATGCAAAGCTATAGAACAAGGATTCTCATTCATTGCTGGCAGGATGGCAAAATGGTACAGCCACTCTGAAAGACAGTTGAGCAGTTTCTTATAAAGTTAAATACACTCTTCGCATATAACTCAGCGGTCATGTTCCTTGGTATTAACAGTTACCCAGAAGAGTTGAAAATTCACATCCACACAGAAACTTACCCACAGATGTTTATAGCAGCTTTACTCACGTTTGCAAAATGCATAAGCAACCAAGATGTCTCTCAATAGGAGAACGGACTAACAATCTATAGTACATCCAGACAATGGAATAGTATTTAGTCATAAAATGAATTAGCAGAAACATAAAGACATATCACTAAGGGAATGAAGCTAGTCTTATAAGTCTACGCACTGTATGATTCCAACTCTACAGCTTTCTAGAAAAGGCAAAACAAAGGAGACAGGAAAAGTATCAGTGGTTGTCAGGGTTTGGGGAGGGAAAGATGACCAGGTGAAACACAGGAGATTTTAGGGCAGTGGAATTATTCTATATGAAACTCTAATAGTGGATACATTTGTTCAAACCCATAGAATGTACAGCATGAAAAGTGATCCCTTTAATGTAAACTATGGGCTTTTGTTAATAATAATGCATCCATGTTGGCTCATCAACCATAACATATGCACACACTAACACAAGAGGAGAAAATGTGGGGATGGGGTCTTATGGGGACTGCACTTTGTGCTCAATTTTCCTGTACACCTAAAATTTCTTTAAGAAACAAAGTCTATTATTTAAAATAATAATAATTTTTTTTTTAAGGAAAAGAAAAAGTACAGCTTTGATGAAGCCCTTCCTGGCTGGAGGGTTTCCACGTCTGTGAATTTGGAGACCTCTCCAGTGCTCAGAGATTTCAGATCCTTCAGAAACCTTCTGGCCACCACTTCTCTGAGGAGTTGATGTCCAAAAACTTCCCACAGAGGCTGCTCGGGCAGGCCTTGGGGAAGAGCAGCGGGCACTCGGCACAGATCCCGCTGACGGGCCCATTTGTACTTCTGTGCAGGGTGCTGTGGTTTTCTTGCTGGCTCACCTCACAAAACAGACTGGCTTGTGCCTCCAGAGCCGAGCAGGCCAGCCAGCCTGCACCCCTCTCAGGGTCCGTCTCCGGGACAGCAAGGGGAGGGTCGGACTACTTCCACTCCTCAACAGGGCAGCCCCCCAAAGCCCCATCCTTGCTCCTTCGTCTCCAAGACAGAAACTTGAATGAATGCCTCAGAAAGGCAGGATGAGGAGCCAGACAGAGGTTCAGAGTGGGCATGCGCCACCTCCCCAGCTGGAAGCCAGCAGCAACGCGGAGAGTGATTCAAAAATTAAAACAGAACGGTGGCACCTTCTTCATTTCTCTATCTGGGCACAGGATGCCATCAAACTGCTGCTGCTCTGCTGAACTGTCACCTCTCAATCCATATTACGTTTAGCTCCAGCTACTGGTTATTCTGGAGAAGGCCCATGAACATTCAAAGGCAGGCCAATTTGGAGGCCACATAAAGTATTTCACACTGTTTTCCTGTGATTTTATAGGAACAAGAAGAAACAGTAACTGCCAAAGCCATGGGTCCCTCAAGTATCCTGTAAAATATACCAAAAAAAAATGGCAAAAATGACTGATGAAAAATAACAGGAAAGGTCCCCAGGAGTGTGACTCTGAGGGCAGAGCCCATAGCACAGAGAGACAGAGAGGCCCCAAGAAAACCTAGTCCTTCCTAGCCTGGCCTGTCAAGAGGCCAGTGAAAGGTTCCCTTGCTTGTCTCCTGGTAAAGTTCCTAACCCAGAGTCCAGAAAATTCAAACATAACAATTCAAAGAAAAGGAAAAAAGATATCCTTTCCCTCTCATCTTCCAAGCCTTTCCATTTTGGTAAAGATTTTATAAACATTCTTAGAAAGAGTATATTCTCTTTCCTCTGCCCACAGGTAACAAGGAATGGCAGATGTTTCAGAAACAGCACATTATAAAAAAAAAAAAAAATCCAATGTCACTAAAACCAGAATGGAAAATGTTTTATACATTAACAAACATTGTAATGAATTTGCACAACCTTAACCGACTGTATACCCAGCATAATGAAATGGTCTCCATCTTTTCAAATAAAAAATTACGTATGCTAGCGCATAGCTTTAGAAAAGCATTGTTCTTTAAAAAAAAAAAAAAGAAACCTGCATTTTTCCCAGCTACCATGTAATTTGTGAGATGCATTTTTAAATGATCTGCAACAGCAGCGGCTTCATCAGTCAGATGATACCGATAGATAATTCACCAAACCGTCACATGATCTTCCATCACTCTAAAAGACGCGAATATATTGCCACAAGCTTTGGGAATAATGGGTGCACCTGTTTACGGTGTCACCTCTGTTTGCTAATTGTCTCCTTGAGCTACATTTTACTTCTAATGCATTTATTTTTGACAGGCAGTGTCTATTTAGAAATCACATTACTTCAAGTGCAATTGTTCTTTTGTCTATCAAGTAAATGAAGTGTTGTTATACAGATTTCAGGTTCTGATTAGTAAAGTATCAGAGCCCCAAAAAGGTCAATCAGTTATTTACCTGAGGTAATAGAAGGATGACAGACATCTCAAATATACTCCAGCTCGTGCTATAGGCCATTTTATTATAATTACTCAGTTCGGTCTAACTTAAATATATATTCCTAGGGTTAACAGTTAAAAAGACACAGAGCACGTGTCCAGAGACTGCATCGACTCAGAAAGTAGGCAGGTGGGTCTTATGTTTGCACGACCAAATCTCACCTCTTTCAAATATGCGACCTTGGAAATGTCAATAATTGTGGCCAAACAAGCGTGTGGGTGGGTGCATGCCCCATCTGTTGGCTTGGACAAATTCCCCCATTAATATAGGTATTTCAAAATAATTTTTCACATCATTTTACTCTTCAGGTCTGACTTGATGAGTGAGTTCAGATCAATATGAAGGTAGTTACAACTGAAATAAAAGACCTATAACTGTGGAAAGACAAACAGCTGCCTGTGAAAGCCAGAACCAGGACTGCCTTCGACTTCCACTCTAGAGCCCGTGAAGCTGGCTGCCCCCACCGATGACTACACGAAGGCCACACCGACACACACCAGGGATATATGAGGAGAGGCTGGGGACCGACTTAAGCCAGAAACCAGATTCATACAGATATTAACGAACTCAGGTTAAATAACCAGAAAGTATTCGTTTTGAAGGAAAATACCTTCCTGAGCACCAACCTGCTTCCTGGCACTCAGATCCAAATGTCTAAATCTCAATTACCCTCAAAGTATTCCTATAGAGCATCCCTCCACCTGACTTACTGCCTCAAAAGCAACCCAAACCATGAATCATAGAGACAGTTCTATATTTAGGAGTCACTTGTCTCTTAAGTGGATCATCTACAGTTTCTCTCTATTCTTCCTGATCTCTCCATCCATGAATTGTAGGATTCTCCCTCCCATGCCTGAGTCCTACCCATCCTCCACGGCTCACGCCACTCAATTATCCTTGATGCTGCCTTTAGCTGAGCGCCACCAAGCCCCTCACACTCAGTTAGATTGCCCAAAACATCCCTCTCTGGACACCCACCTTGTTCAGGCCTAGGTAAAGTGGCCACTTCAGGTGGGCAGGGGGCCTACAAAGAATTCCAGAGACCACTGTTACGCAACACACTTGCCAAAAGAAAGAGACACAGAGAGCCACACTCTCCTTAAGTC